AAAAAAACTAATTTTGTTTGTCATGGTTCATGAGCAATCGATTGGAGAGTGACGTCACAGATATTTAAATACCAAATTACGGTCGTCACAAATATCCATTTATTCATGAATATAACTGCCAGAAGGACTTATCACGTAGGACAAACGCAGGCTTTATTACCAACTGTTTTGCTGCTAATGTCATCAAAGCCATGCTTACAGCCTCGGACGTTTAGGAGCAAGAAGTATTGAGATTACTTCTCCCTTTCAATTACACAAGCGCTTGGCTTCATCTCTATAAAACATGGCATGAAGTAAGTGCTGGCGCGAGTTTCACTTAGCTCCCTCGCCCTATCCTATGGCACTGACAATAAAACAAAACAGCGGGCTTTTATCCCTCCAATAAAAAAACATCGTTGGATCACGGCGTTGTCCACAGCCGCAACAGTTAAAACCAATTTCAGAAAGCCATCTTGGGTTTCAGCACACGGACCACTCGTGTCGAAATCATGATCGCAACTCTCGCGAGACTTCACCAACCAACTGGACATGGGGGATTCGAGGGAAGATCGAAACAGTGTGACAAGGGAGCGTAATATTAGATTTGCGGGATGCCGTTTTTGTTTCTTTTTGCGGAAATGGCCGTCATGGGTTCTCAATGGGGTTCGATGTGTGGCAGAGGGATGCTTTTATGGGCGTTATCGTGCTTGTTCTGCCTCTCTCTGCACGTTGATACCATCGCGTCACGGAGCTGATATGAACTGATCTAATCATGCGAGTATGGGCGATCTTGTTTCAATGCAATTAACGCAACATACATTGACTCATCAGTTTCGCAACGCCCGACCGCATGCTCTCGATGACGTAAATGCGAAGCGGGGTTTGGCTAAATGCTTCATCGATTACATTTTAACAATGTTAATTTCAGATATTTCTGAATAATATTAACAGCGATCAATATGTTTTCTGACGATCTGGCAGCTGTGTGATTCGAATATTAATCATGTTAAAGAATTCGTTTCACTTCTCTTAAGCTTTAAAATAATTTGTGCTCTTTCCAACGTCCAGATACGTTAATAAGGTGGTCATTTTGTACCAGTAAATCACCAATCCCCGGCTCCTTGAAAATCCGTAACAATGCCGTGCAGATTCCGTACAGATTCCAAATTCCGTGCAGATTTCGTACAGATTCCGTACAGATTCCGTACAGATTCCAAATTCTGTAGAGATTCCTTGGTACCCGTGAAGATCCGGGGTAGAATAGGTCTTCAGCAACCAATGCTTGCCGTAAAAGGCGACTATGCTTGACGTAAGAGGCGACTAACGGGATCGGGTGGTCAGGCTCGCTGACTTGGTTGATACATGTCATCGTATCCCAATTGCGTGGATCGATGGTCATAATGTCAATCACTGCATGGTCTGATCGAGACTTGATTATTTACAGACCGCCGTCATATAGATAGAATATCGCTGAGTGCGGCGTTAAACTACAAACCAACAAACTTTGAATGAGGTGACATATACGTACGGGCAGTATACACGCATGTTTGACGGTGGGTAAAATTAAAAAACAACAATAAGAAAGGGTTATTCGATTGTGAATTATTTGATACGGATATCATAGGTATGTTTTGGACCTTAACTTTGCAATGTTTCGGCGATTGTTTTCAACCTGTTAACATTTTGGTCAAATCCTATAATTCAAGTGTATTCTTTCTTTTGCCCGATAGGTTAGTGACAATGATGTAACACTCACATCACGACTGTGATAACGATGTTAAAAGATGGTACTTGTTGTTACCTTGTCTGGCGCTCGGCTTTAGGGGCTAAAACAAGGACTGGTCGGCTCGGAGTCAGTATCCTGTGTCTGAGTGAGGTATTCATGTTAAACTGCGGCATGGTGTCTCAATGGGCTGGCACTATTAATCGACATCAGTCCACACTAGCGCAAGCAGCCACACACAACACAGAACACACACACAACACACACACAGAACACACACACACACACACACACACACACACACACACACACACACACACACACACACACACACACACACACACACACACACACACACATGCACGTCGCTACATAAGTGCAATAATCTTGGACGCGACGTTAAACCCCATTTCACCTCACCTATTGATAACGAGGAACTTGAACCAACGAAATTGCTGAAGATATGTACTTTCATCACACAACTTCGTCGAGTTGTGACGTACTAACAAGCATTGTTGTCGGGTTATTCTTGAAAGTCAAAATATCACAGGTCAGTCTGATGCGGAAGGAAAACCCGAAGTGATGTATTGATAAACTTTGAACATTTCACTGAGACCCGGGCACGGGTTGGTGCTGACAAACCTAGAAACATAATCAGGGTGGGTCGGAGATTCGAACCCACGCTCACAGGCTTACAGCACGCCGGCTCTGCGTAGCGACCTTAGACGGCTGAGCGCCTCGCGCCCCCCAGCAAGGTATGAGTCGACAATAAGTATAGCAGTGTATGAATATTGCCGATTATCTTCATAACCGGCCATGTCCACCATGACATAAATACGGCATAATGACGGACTACGTCCCATGAGTCGGTGAGCTTCTGTTACCCTGCAATCACCCCGCTGTACATGTTCCTAGTGGCTCACTGTCCCACTGTCCCGAGCCTCATTAGCTCTTACTGTCCCTTCATTCTACAAGATTAGCCCGACTTACAGCTGGACTGGCGGCTTTGGGAGGCAATCACCCAGCCTGCCAGTTTCAGTCTCCTGCATCACTAAAGCTCATCTGACTGGACTTTCATTTGACCTTGGAAGCTTGTTACGCGATGGAGGCGATATGTAGTGATGCGGTAGGTTGTAATGAGGGATGTAATGAGGCCCACAGTCCAGTGTCATCAGCAACACCCACCCAAGTACTTCACATTGGGTAGACACGTCCAGAGTGTAAGAAGGTTTTCGTCATCGCATTGACATTATTACAAACGAGACCGGTCCACACCATCAGACAGTGGTACATCACCTGTCCGGTGGCCGGTCCACACCATCAGACAGCGGTACACAATCAGTCCGGTGGCCGGTCCACACTATCAGACAGTGGTACATCACCAGTCCGGTGGCCGGTCCATACCATCAGACAGTGGTACATCACCAGTCCGGTGGCCGGTCCACACCATCAGACAGTGGTACATCACCAGTCCGGTGGCCGGTCCATACCATCAGACAGTGGTACATCACCAGTCCGGTGGCCGGTCCACACCATCAGACAGTGGTACATCACCAGTCCGGTGGCCGGTCCACACTATCAGACAGTGGTACATCACCAGTCCGGTGGCCGGTCCACACTATCAGACAGTGGTACATCACCAGTCCGGTGGCCGGTCCACACCATCAGACAGTGGTACATCACCAGTCCGGTGGCCGGTCCACACCATCAGACAGTGGTACACCATCAGTCCGGTGGCCGGTCCACACCATCAGACAGTGGTACACCATCAGTCCGGTGGCCGGTCCACACCATCAGACAGTGGTACATCACCTGTCCGGTGGCCGGTCCACACCATCAGACAGTGGTACATCACCAGTCTGGTGGCCGGTCCACACCATCAGATAGACGTGCCCTTTAACAATGCCCATGACAGTCACATCTGACATGCATCTGTACAACTAATTACTGTTCCCACACACGCGTGATCGCAATTACAGTTGCTCCTTATTTCATTCGAGCGGTACCTGCCCTGGTTCCCTTTGGTGAGGTCGGTCTGCCCTTGTTCCCCAGGGTGAGGTCGGTCTGCCCTTGTTCCCAAGGGTGAGGTCGGTCTCCCTGGTTCCCCAGGGTGAGGTCGGTCTGCCCTTGTTCCCAAGGGTGAGGTCGGTCTGCCCTGGTTCCCAGGGTGAGGTCGGTCTGCCCTTGTTCCCAGGGTGAGGTCGCTTTGCCCTGTTTCCCAGGGTGAGGTCGCTTTGCCCTGTTTCCCCAGGGTGAGGTCGCTCTATCCTGGTTCCCCAGGGTGAGGTCGATCTGCCCTGGTTCCCCAGGGTGAGGTCGCTCTGCCCTGGTTCCCCAGGGTGAGATCGGTCTGCCCTCACTCCTCACGTCAACGCTTTCTTGTCCAGACTCCTTTCGTAGACGTGTTCTTGTCCCAGGAAATGTGGCTCGAATCCAAGCATGTGACCCGGGAATGCTTTGACTTCTACAAATAGAATCGTAATGCCAACTTGAAAGACTTCCTATCCCGTTGCGTAAGGCTCGGTAGCAAACACCTTCATGTTACATCAGCATCCTCCGGGGCATACTTTGTACATGCTTTTTTTTTTATAACGGTGAACTTTTGGATGGTGAAAATTAGTGCATCTGCGTTCTATACTTATAGATGGGCATAAGGGAGCGAGTTACTTAGCTGCCGGGACCCCCACCCCCAAATTTAAATTATACACCCATGTTTGATGGTGGCTAAAAATGAAACAAACAAGAAATGGTTATTCGAAGGTGACGTTTTTGATACGGGTATTTGAGAACGTTTTACTTTGCTTTTATGTACTACCTGTGCTGTACTATCCGGGGCTGAATAGGTCTTCAGCAACCCATGCTTGCCGTAAAAGGCGACTGTGCTTATCTTAAGAGGCGACTAACGTGATCGGGTGGTCAGACTCGCTGCTTTTACGATTACAGAAAGCGTAATCATCCGTAACCATGATTCAATGGGAACGTTACAGCTCGGATGAACTAGGTGCAACACACCTTGATTCCAGGTGCTGGAGGCGATGGGGTAGCTTAGCGGTTATAATGTTCGCTCGTCCCATCGAGGACGTATTTTTGGGTCTCCAAATGGGTGAGAAGCATGTTTCTGGTGTCAGATGCTATGTGACTTGACTATAAAGGGCTAAATAGTTCTAAGTAGGGCGTAAATTCCGTAAAACTCACTCGCACTCACTAGATACGGAGTAAAACCTAACTCACTCTCTCGCTCATTCTATCTCTCACTCACTCACTAAACCAAGTTTTCAGTCTTTGCTCTTTGTTTCAGATCTACGGCATCACATCCTTCCTGTTCGTCGCTCTGTCTATCGCCGGCTTTTGTCTGGAGACGTTGCCGGACTTGAGGCCGGTGACGAACGTGACGACCAAATGTAACGGCGTTGACAGCATATCCAGCGTCATCACCTCACACGAGGCTCTGAATATCATCGACCTTATCTGTACCGTCTTCTTCACACTGGAGTTGATATTGAGGTTTACGGTAGCCCCGAATAAACTGAAGTTCGTACGTTCGCCAATGAACATAATTGACCTACTGGCTCTGGTCCCTCTTTATGTTCAAATTATTTTCGAAAGGTCGGACCAAAAAGCCTGTTACCTTAACGAAAGACTTGTGATTGAGATTCTGTTCATCCTCAGGATCATCCGTATGTTCCGCATCTTCCACCTTGTGAAGCACTACCAGGCGCTGAAGGTCCTGGTGTATGCACTCAAGGCCAGCCTCCAGGAATTGCTGATGCTCTTCATCTTCCTCATGATCGGGATGCTTGTGTTTGCCACCATGATCTACTACACGGAGAGGAAGGATGCAACGAACCCCAGCGACACCTTCAACACAATCCCCGTCGGCTTCTGGTGGGCCATCATCACCATGACAACAGTTGGATACGGCGATATTTATCCTCGGACTCCCATTGGATACATTGTGGGAACAGCCTGCTCCGTGTGTGGTGTTCTGCTCGTGGCCTTGACCTTTCCTGTCATATCCAATAACTTCAGCCTGTTCTATACTCACGTCAGGTCTCGGTCGCAGGCACCACGACGCATAGACGCGGAATCTAAGGATCCCCTTACACAGATCCCCTTTTCTCCTGTAACTGACCGGCCCCCTTCTGTAGCATCCACTGTGGTAGAGCCGTACATGAACGGTAACGCTAGAGACAAGGGGAGCGATAAGACAAGTCCGATCGTTGTCTCCAGAATGTCCAGGAATGGTTCCATCAGTGACGTGATTATGAAGAATATAGATTCCTCGTACAGCCTCCATCAAAACGGTTCTGCGAAAACACGCTCAGACGACGGAGGGTCGTGTCAAGGGGAGACGCACGTGTGATGCGCTGGTGTGTGAGCCGTGATGCGCTGGTTGGAATTCTTGTGATGTGGAGTAGTACCGTTTCCTTATTCCTAGTGGCATCTCAACGTAGTGCTCAAGCCTGTAGGACCAACGCTGAGAATTGTCCACATTCTCACAGCAGTGTGACAACGTACTCGTTTACCTACTTACAATTTTTCAACTTTTCTTCTGTGATTTGTGTCTGAATTTGATGCTTTCTGCTGGGCGGAGGCAACAACAAGACAGCTCCTATACAGAGCAGCGTCAGTACGGGACTTGCTATATTTCCGTATCTTCCATCGACAATACGTCACGGGTTTACATAAACGACGTTCCTCCATCACCCGTGAATATATACGACAGCTATTTTTAACCAACGAATCAGGACATGGCTTATTTCCAGTGAGATGGAAACCATCGAGGGCTGACCAATGAGCATCCAGATTACATGCACAAAATTTCCCATGCAACATGCGTCTATCTTCAGTCAGGTAATAAAATGAGGCGGGTATAATTGAAAGAAATGAGCCCTATTCCGTGCCCGCTCCCTGCTTTCTGCGCATATACCGTTGCCTGATATTGAAGCAATGTTTGGAGGAGCGGTCGCAAGGCCATGACGCATGTTGGATGGGCAATATTTCCTATATAAGCTGAACCCTGATTGGCCAAGCACTCGCTTGGTTCCTTCTCGTCGAAAGGGGTGCCTTGATTCGCTGGTTAAAAATAGATCTAGAGCCTGCAGCACAACGGCCTTATGTGTTCTATGGTGGCGGAGGAAAGCAGTGTGTACGAACCCGTGTTGACGATGGGTTTCATCAGGTTCCAAGATAACTCGTTCTTACTACTTGTACCTCAGGTTAGACCAACGGGATGCAATAGCTACGTCCGTTATGACAGACGCTTGTCTCCAGGGTCCTTATACATAATACAGCAATAACAACACGTAACGAACACCGAGTCAGCACCAGTTTAGCAATAACACTAGACTTCACATTTAGAAATAACTGGCTAAAAGCGAAGCACCAGAGCACTAGAAATCATAACTCTTTAAACCATGAGACGCCGTTTTACTCTTCAATCTCTGTTTACATATCAATAAGATATTTTATGATATTGATAAGGGTGCCATTATAACTGGGGCAAAATGATATCACATTCTTCAAATTATTTATTACTAGTTATTAAAAATATAATTTGTAATAAAGTAGAATCGGTCATATCAATAATTGGAGTCCCTGATGTTTAAAAATCTACAGATTTGCCTTGTATCTATTATCAAATTTGTCAATTACTTGCTGATATTTTAAATAGATTGTGATATTACATAAATATATGTTACTGTTTTGACGAAATGCAGAATAAGGGTTAAACAGCGCCTCGTGGTAAAACTTCATAATCTAAATAGTATTTGGAATGTCAATAATGTGCGACACGTCAGTGGTGTTTTGTCTTGAAAGTCGTTAACGTCCTTATAGGCTGTCCGTATGTTTTCATTCCGACGTGAAATAATATAAAGTTTCCTCAACCCAATTTCCCCTGCCGCTGTTGAAAATTAATCCATGTGATACTCCTACCATTGCACGGTCAGCTTCAGCTATCTTCAGCCATGTTTATTAAGTATTCGATTCCGAAGCAAGCGTCCCGATATACGTCATAAATTAATTTTTACCAAGTGTTTAACTTTAAAATGTCACACAATAAGTTACACTATGTAGGAAAAAACCCCAGTTATTTTTAATTATTATATTCTATTTTATTACGCTCACCTATGTGAGGTTGGAGGCGGTGGGATAGCCTGGTGGTTAAAGCGTTCGCTCGTCACGCTGAATACCCGGGTTCGATTCACGACATGGGTACAATGTGTGAAGCCCATTTCTTGTGTCCCCGCCGTGTCATTGCTGGGATATTGCTTAAAGCGGCGTAAAACCATATTCATGCACTATTTGAGGTTGGAGATGAGAAACATAAAATATAGATGGCCTGAAAACCACGTGCCCACCTGATGCTTGATAGACGAAGGGAGATAACTCTGAACTATTATGCTGACATATCCCCATAGCCGAACACAGCTATAAACCTGACTACTACTACTACTACTACTACTACTACTACTACTACTACTACAGTATTACTACTACTACTACTACTACTACTACTAAGTACTACCAATTCTACTTGATGCCAATTCTTTAACGAGTTTACATAAATAGTTTAGGTCAAGAAAATACATTTTAATCAATGCGCGTATGCTTCTGCCGTTGACAATGTATTTTGAAATATCAACAAAGGCACATCGAATCATACATTTACTTAACAGTTTCGATTTGTTTTATTAATAATCATACCACTGACTTAACTGAAGTGTCTGCATTTAACAGTTACAAAAAGTAGTTTGGCTTTGACTGGCTTTGGTTTAGGTAGTGTGATGCATGTTTGGAATTGATTTTATGTTGTTTCAATTCAAAAGACTTGGTTATTGTCGTCCCACTTTAAACGGCGGAATAACAGCCTGGTTCCCCGGGTATGCTGCGCTGGCGCTCCACCGCAGTATACTCAGGACCCAGGCTGCACGGATAAAAGCCCGTTCGGCCATTTCCGTGGTCCGAGTTATTTACATGTTATTTACAGCCGTATACATACATCCTCGGGGGTAAATCCACCAAAAGCGTTGGTACTTCCTAAACATCTGTGAGAAACATTCTTGACAACTCGTGTCATTCCGGTTGGTAGTGTAGGTTACGGAAAGGGGCGAATAGTGACGAACGCTGTTCGAAACTCGTATCTGAAGCATTTACTGTGCTATCCTGATTGTCTCCCTTTGTTTAATCCTCCCTTGCCATGGACACTAACAGCAGCTGGCGTCCTGCATTTTGTGATATTATGAACTAATACTCGAGTAATCATATTTGAATCGCTATCATAAACATAATCATTATCATATTTGAGCCGATATTAATGACATTGTTCGCTGTGAAACTTGTCATCACTGGTATATATAAGCGCGTCTTTGTACTCCGTGCACACCGTCAGTTTAACTATCCGTGGTTTGTATCTCAGCGTCGTGCCTGTGGTGTTTGCATTAATATTTTACCTGCTTCAATTTAAATCAATGAAGTAGATTTTTTTTCTGTTTCTCATTACTTAGATCGAAGTGTTTCATCAACGATTGCATGATGTCAGGCGTGTGGGGGCTGGGTGGGGTTATGCTGACGTGTGGTTGTGGAGATGTGACGGGTGGGGTTATGCTGACGTGTGGTTGTGGAGATGTGAGGGGTAGGGTTATGTTGACGTGTGGTTGTGGAGATTTGACGGGTAGGGTTATGCTGACGTGTGGTTGTGGAGATGTGACGGGTGGGGTTATGCTGACGTGTGGTTGTGGAGATGTGAGGGGTTGGGTTATGCTGACGTGTGGTTGTGGAGATGTGAGGGGTCGGGTTATGCTGACGTGTGGTTGTGGAGATGTGAGGGGTCGGGTTATGCTGACGTGTGGTTGTGGAGATGTGAGGGGTAGGGTTATGTTGACGTGTGGTTGTGGAGATGTGAGGGGTTGGGTTATGCTGACGTGTGGTTGTGGAGATGTGAGGGGTCGGGTTATGTTGACGTGTGGTTGTGGAGATGTGAGGGGTTGGGTTATGCTGACGTCTGGTTGTGGAGATGTGAGGGGCGGGGTTATGTTGACGTGTGGTTGTGGAGATGTGACGGGTAGGGTTATGTTGACGTGTGGTTGTGGAGATGTGACGGGTGGGGTTATGCTGACGTGTGGTTGTGGAGATTTGACGGGTGGGGTTATGTTGACGTGTGGTTGTGTAGATTTGACGGGTGGGGTTATGCTGACGTGTGGTTGTGGAGATGTGCCGGGTGGGGTTATGTTGACGTGTGGTTGTGGAGATGTGACGGGTGGGGTTATGTTGACGTGTGGTTGTGGAGATGTGAGGGGCGGGTTATGCTGACGTGTGGTTGTGGAGATGTGACGGGTGGGGTTGTGCTGACATATGGTTGTGGAGATGTGACGGGTAGGGTTATGTAGGGCGGGGGTTGTCTGAGGTTCTGATAGCTCCTGAGGACGATACAGTTAGTTTCTGACCCATGACGTGATTGAACAGTGTTGCACAAAGCAGCCCCGACACTGACATGCATCTCCGGCTTGATAGTCTCACTGGTAACAACAATGCTATGTTACTAGCTGCATGTACCCTAACAATAATCTTCTCTAATGATTTACCACTTTGTAAAATCTGACATTTGATTTTGGTACACCTCAACCACACGTTATTTATAAGGTTGAACACCCACGCTATATATCCCAGTTTGAACCCACACCCTGTATAGCCACGCGCTATATATATCCCAGTTTGAACCCACACCCTGTATAGCCACGCGCTATACATCCCAGTTTGAACCCACACCCTGTATAGCCACGCGCTATATATATCCCAGTTTGAACCCACACCCTGTATAGCCACGCGCTATATATCCCAGTTTGAACCCACACCCTGTATAGCCACGCGCTATATATATATCCCAGTTTGAACCCACACCCTGTATAGCCACGCACTATATATATCCCAGTTTGAACCCACACCCTGTATAGCCACGCTATATATATCCCAGCTTGAATCCACACCCTATATGTACATATATATTTCTTATTCAAGGTTGAACCAACATGCTACATATTTCAGATTAACCCCACACGCTTTATATCCCACTTTATATCCAACACTCTATATATACCTTGTAACCCTGCACGCAAACCGACGTTGATCCCACACGCTCTTTATCCCGGTTAACTAGAGCCGTCACGTGACTGTATGTTATATCCATCCAAAGCCCATCCCATCACTGTTTGTTTAGACTAACCCTTTGTTCAACGTGAGAAGGATTTTCGCTTGAGACAAATAATTGTCCCCCAACACATTTTTTTCTCGAGATCAGAGGTGACAGATATTGCTTGGCGTTGTGTATTTACCACTACACATCAAGTTAAAAAATATCTTTTTGTATTTCGCAACACCTATACTTTCCTAGTATTTCTGGGTAATGCAGTTATGATTTATAACATTTGTTTTGTGATGGTTCGGCTTTGAGACAGTCTCATAAAAATCAGATCTGTAATTCCGAAACGACACCTCTCATCGAAAATCTGTGGACACCTCCATTAGGGGTTACGTTAGGTGACCTATGAGCGAACTTTGACCATCCAGTCAAAATGCAGGATGCATGTGTTCTTGGGCCAATCAAATGTCAGCATACTGAAACGATTCGGGCTTCATTACTTTACCACATTGTTTCGGAAATTTCGAATTTTACAATTAAATTCCCATACAGAACAAATATTCCTTTGATGGTACTGTTTTTAGATGTAGATGCAATGACGCTCAGAAACGACATGGTGTACATTCGGAACTTGTCGTTTTAGTTCATTATCGAGAAACAGTAATCAAATATGCTAATCTAAATGCTTTGCTCACTCGTACCGATAATTTAAAAGCTCCCACGCTTATTGGCTGATTATAGGTAAGACTCAGTAAAGGTGTCCTCGGATCGTCACCGTGAGAGTTGTCGTGTCGTAGTACAATATCGGATTATAATCAGAGTTGATCTGGCAGAAAAGACACAGGATAGGCCTCGATATTTGCTCGCTCACAAAGTAATAATTACTCTCTTTAGAAACACATTTGGGAAAGGAAATTGTAGCATCCATCAGTCGCAATGCTTTTCATTTGTACATGTACAAAAAGATGGGCCAGTTTTGGTAACTATCGCAATTTACAGTATTGCTCTGACTCTATCCATAGGGATATGATGAGGTATATATCATCACTGATACAATATCACGAATCACAGCACAAATTAGACCAACAACTGACTTAAAGTGCACCCAGCTTTTCATAAGGTCAGCAAAAATTGCATACCTGAAAATACTTAAACGTTTCCCCTTCACGTACACATTGCACGGCTTCGCTTGATGATTTCATGTGGAGTAGCCGAAAGTTTAAGATTAAAAGACCAACTTGATATTTTTCCTCTAAGACACTTACAGTGGAAATGTGTTGTTATTTCATGATATATCTGTATTATACCATCACATATATGTATTATACCATCCTCATATCATACGCACAAGCGTTCAGTTTGTTGACCAGAGATTCTTTATGAAGATTGTCACCAGATGACCTATATTTGAAAGCTGACAGTATTGGTTTACATATTATCGAATGGTATCTGTAACCCCTTGTTGCCACAAAAGACAACAGCACCACCGCTTCCTTGTTCTTATTGGAAGGAAAGCCTCTACCAGACCAAACTCTCTCGTGTTACCCCACACTAGTAGACCATTCTGTCACAGGGACGCTTGGATAGCCTAGTGGGTACAGCGTTGGCTTCGTAACGCCGGCCCTTGTTCGATTCCCTGCAGGGATACAATGTGTGAAGCCCATTTTGGGGCCGTTATTTTCGTCTTGAATTAAGCTAGTAGGGTCGTAATAATCTGCTCATTCTATCACCCACTATTTTTATGTTCGTGCAATAGTTTCAAAGCACGTTTTATTCCACATTACGAATTAATTGCCAAACAACAATTGTAATAGATATTTGCATAAATGTGCATGATTTTAACTATATATGTTGATATTTTCTTCAGCTACTTTTAAATAGAATGGTTTCAACAGAAGCCCAATTTATCACTATTAAATGAACATACAAAGTGAACACCTTTTACTGAATGAATTGATGTATTCAAATTAAATTAATAGTTACTCACTCCACCAATACGTCAAATACAAAGTCCTACTCCCAGCGTGACGGTACCAGATGGTACGACTAAAGCCGAGCCCAGCCCAGCCCAGCCCAGCCCAGCCCACCCATCCGAATAACTGATAGCAGGTCCCGAGCCGGTTCTGGGGTTGTTCACATCGCTCGGTAACATGTATTCAATATCATTCCTTTATAATCAGTTGAGCAATGGATCCAAATATTATCAAAGGCAACAAACTAAAAATTAAAATAATTATAATTGATAATTGAACAATAATGATATTAACAATTAATAATTATATGACTTCAGAAATAGATAACTTTACACTTACATATAAATGTTGTCGTAATCTATAGTAGGGTCAAATGGGGGGTATTTCATCATTACTAAAAACTAAAACATCTTTTAGAAGCAACATGCATTAAAAGAAGAAGAAAAGAAAGAATTGTATTTTTAACTTCCAACAAGTTTTAACAAGTTGGCGGAGTTCGCATATTCTTATCGACGTATATCATGTAATATTTTTGAATGAAAGAGACGATGCTCAATGAAAAGGAATAACCTGAGCTGACGAGATACATGTTATTTATATATTTGTTCTTGCATTGACATGATGTAGCCAAGTTCTGCCAGTTGATCTCGTAGAGTCCTGCAAGAGTTGAATTGTCAGCGACAAACATTACATTGTTGCAAGGTGTGTTTCAGAATTTTTATTCAGGTTTTAATTAAAATATCTGGTTTTGCAACTGTAGCTGAGAAGATATCTAGCCTGCATCAAAATCCCTTAGTAATAGGTGTTGATGACTGTTATGGGGCTGGCATGCTTGATGAAGCAAGCAAGCTTCGTAGCCAGGCACATTTTATGCTTAACAATAAGGTTAATGACACTTTTGCATTTAACAAGATAACTGTTTTTTGTTCTTCTGACTGCACACGTTCCTAAGTGTGCTATGTCCCTCATGCACACACGCACCAGGTCCCCTACAGAAGCCCTTTTTAGCTCACCTGGCCTAAGGTCTGCATGATCACAATGCGAAGAAAGCCGTCCGTTGCTGTCTGTTAGCTTATCGTTCTATTGTCCAGAGCCCCGTCTTATGGTAGTCGGTAACTGTGTGCTAAGTATTGGCGTATGTTACTGCAGTCAACTGACATCCAAATGGAGTAATCAAAAATACTAAATTTCCTCTGGAGTCAAACTATACTACCCAAAAGAAGTTGAAGAACACCCGATTTCTTTCCTATGAATATAGTTAATCATGGCTGGTAGGTATCGCAACACACAGTCAACGGTGGTTGTTCCTAAACTTGTTTTGAGTTAGATATATAAAAGTGTCACATTGCTTAAGTATATGAGTACGGTCATTGTATTTAGTTTTTTCACCTCTCTATTTGAAACCCGATGCATATTATGGTACCGTTGCTGTAATCCCTGTGTATATTGTTAAAAGCAGAATCCATATAAGATACTGATGATAGCTGCATTAACTTTGCCGTAATGCATGTGCATATTGATAGAATGGGATTAAAAAAGATTGATTGTTTTTTTATGACGGTGCCCTCTTAACTGCATGCCTATTTCCATACATTGGTGTCAACATCAGCTGTTACCTCCTGGTTACAGTTCAGAGTGAGTGAGTGAGTATAGTTTACAGTTAAGAAGGCCGTGACATTTAAATGACATTTTAATGACATTAGAATTGGATACATGTTAGTAATATCTATTCCAAATCAGAGTTTATGAAAATTGTATGTTAATGAGGCCAGCTGCCCGTCTGAATTTCAAATGAGATCATTGCCTATAAATATTGACCGAATCTTGACTATGGCTTTGGTACACCAGTGGTAATTGTATTATGTACTCAGCAATAGGTCATCGAACGTCCTGAGCAATAAGTCATCGGTGAGCTACATAACCTTTTAGCCATTTCCATACTTCGAAGCACAGTTATATGTGTGTCTGACTAACACAGTTTCTATAAAAACAAACATAAACAGTGAATCCTCGTTTATCCCGACTCCGTTAATCTGGAAACACACTTTCTGGACGACGACTGTCATTAACGCCTATATGAATGGAGGAATATTACTGTGTAATCACGAATCGGTAATCCGGACATCTCTTATTCCGGAGGATAAAACTGGGAAAGGTCTGATCCGGATTAACGAGGTTTCACTGTCTTTTATAAACGTATACTGCTCAAATGAAGTTAAAGAACACCCGATTCTTTCATATTACTATAGTTAATCTGTGTTTAACTTCTTTTGAGCAGTATATATCACGGATAGTCACAAGCAGCTTGTATCATTAATGCTCTTGTTCAGTATGGTGCCGAGTTGTATAAGTTCACAATTGCCAATGTAAGCATTGCAAGGCCGTCATGAGGATGTAAGATGCGGATGCAGGCTGCAATATTTCCCATCATTGTAAGCTTACCGCCTTGCCAACATCCCGCTGGGAGAGTGGTGTATGCCGTGTGCCGTGTATGCGGTATTTATGCCACTACGGCGCATTCACTATATATGCTTGTTTGTTATTTGATCATATGATTTCTTTTGGAGTTTTCCATTCATTAACAGCATTTAAATGTAACTGGATGACGTTGAGGCCGGTGACAACAATTATATACATATCACTCCTGCCAGACGGCACGGACACGACTGCCGGGGTTCTATCAGACTCAAACAGCCCAATACTAGGGTGTTAATACCCGTGTACCTGTCCGACGAAGAGAAAACGTGAGGTGTTCGTGAAGACCGCACTAACGTATCTTAGACCTATTAAACTCAGATTTATTAAAGAAAATGTCATGTTTAAAACAGATTTATTGGCTGTCCCGAATAAAAAAATGGGCATTTAATACAAAAATGTCCTTTCAGAGGAAGATGTAGTGACAGAAGACCTCTAAAAAACTCCCAGCCCCTCCCCGACATCCCTCGCCCCTCCCACCCCGATTATCCAATGAACGGTCACAAAGGTGCAACGGGCAAGTCGGGCTGACTTTACAGTTGGCTCCGAGCGAGATTTGTTCCCCGGTAATCGACCATCCTTTAAGCGTCTACCCCCACGCAAACATGTCTAGGATATTTCCTGTGTTCCTTACGATCACTTCAAAGGTATAATTGATTCCTGAAAGTGTGCCACTGTGTATCAGACGCCCAAGTTGCCAGGGTAACTGAGGACCCGGATTAAAGGTTTACCGTCTGGCCGGGTGTTCATTTGCTCCACGACAATGCTATGCAATAAAAACGCTTTAAAACATATGTAACCACGTTTTGTTTTGATATAAAGATCGATATCGATCCACGATGAATTGGAGCCAAGGTTTTGACCTAATCAGGCGAATGGACAAGTAAGAAATCTATCTTAAGATGGAAATACTCAATAGAAATAGTCAATGAAACACAAGATTGTGCTTAATCGCAATTTATTGAGTATTTTACAATACGTAAGTACAGTTTGTACCAACTCCAAAATATGAGCGTTTCGTCAACAACACATTTCGTTTTTGCAGCTTTCTGATAAATGCCTTTGATTTTAAACATGTACTGAACACAGATTTTAACGTTTCGAAGAAAAGCTTTACAAAAAAGTAGGGAACATTACGAACAAATACGGTCAATTCTGGGACGAGATCATTTATGTAATATGATATTTAAATCTCCTATCCAGTGATAACAGCTGCTGCTAACCGATGATCTATTACAGATGAAACTGACAGTGTTGAGATAGCAAATTATATCGATTTTAGTACAGGACAGGTGACAACACCATTTTCTATTTATGGTGTTTATTGGGGGGGGGGGGGGGGGGGGGGGGGGGCTTTAACCACCGCCGCTGACACAAAGGAGAAGTGGTTGCATTCATGTATACACTCTTAAAAAAAAGAAACGCACAGGTAGTATGTTGTACATTGAACCTGACTACACAAAACCCCGGTATATGAATTGTTTATATTTTATTGGAAAATGGTGGCCTGATATTCGACAAACGGTGCCATTGTCCATTTGTAATGCCTTAAACAGCATTGTTTTCACACTTGTTCAAAAATATCATAGAGGAAAACAGTAAAGCAAAAGGTATGGCATTCGTAACTCGCGGTAGTGGCTATAAAAAAGGCAAGTTAAGCTAATAATTTGTACGTCAATTGTCAACATTTTTCAAGTTCGAAAATGCCGAGACTCAGCGTTGCCGATCGGAACATCGCCATAGGATGTATCCAAAGAGGGGAATTGCAGTCTTCTGTTGCACGCCACTTCAAAGTCCACCACAGCACCATTTGCCGCCTTTGTGACCGATACACACAGTTCAATTCCACTGTAGACCGTCCGAGAACCGGCCGAACCTCCTACACCAGGAGATGAGACTTGGTTGTTGTTCAGGAAAATTTGACAGCAAATCGCTACATAAATAAATTCTTCAACCTCACCTTCTTCCAATCATTGACCGCCAGAGGGAGCTGTTTCAACAGGACAACGCTTCACCGCACACAGCTCGTGTCACGGTAGACTACCTTCATAATGCCAACATCAGCTCCTTTCCCTGGCCGTCGGGATCTCCAGATCTCAACCCAATCAAACACCTCTAGGATGAACAACGTCAGAACACGCCGCAGACACTGCCACAACTGGCCAACGCGTTACAAACAGAATGGCGCAGAATTCCGCAGGACAGAATTCGTACACTTATCCAGTCAGTGCAGGGGGCACGGGTGGCCCAGTCGTCTAAGGCGCCGCAATTCGCTGTGCAGAGTTGCGTCCCTTGGGCCCGCCAGAAACCTATGATTGTGGGTTCGAATCCCGGTTCACCCCCATTATGTTTCTAGGTTGTCAGCACCATACCCGTGCTCGTGGGTTTCACCGAAGTGGTAAACGTCTGAGACCTGCATCACTTCGGGCTTTCCTCCCACATTAAGCTGACACGCCGTGATATGACTGGAATACTGTTTAAAGCGGCGTTAAACCCAACTCACTCACTCCAGTCAGTGCCGAGGAGATGCTGAACCGTGATTTCTGCCCGGGGCGGTCACACGAGATACTGAGTTCAGGCCTTGTGGCCTTATGTGACATGACAATGAACAGTTTTCAATGCCTTTGTAGAACAACATGTGACTATCGAGCTCAAAAGTATCATATTTGTATCTATCATATTAAATTAAATATATCGACTTTTTTAGGTACAACAAATTTACTAAAAATCTACCTGTGCGTTTCTTTTTTTTTGGAGTGTGTATGTGGAATGTCTCAGGTGCATGGTTTGTTTGTTTGTTTGCTGTTTAACGCCGCACCTTCGAACTATATGACGGCGGTCTGTAAATAATCAAGTCTGGACCAGACAACCAAGCTAAGAACCGATCTTAACAACTTGGATACGATGACATGAATCACTCACGCTCATGGTTCGCAATCAGAAAGTGATGACACCAGGTGTTCGCCATCAGATAGTGATGACACATGGTGTTCGCCATCAGATAGTGATGACACCAGGTGTTCGCTATCAAATAGTGATGACACCAGGTGTTCGACATCAGATGGTGATGACACCAGGTGTTCGCCATCAAATAGTGATGACACCAGGTATTCGCCATCAAATAGTGATGACACCAGGTATTCGCCATCAGATAGTGATGACACCAGGTGTTCGCCATCAAATAGTGATGACACCAGGTGTTCGCCATCAGATAGTGATGACACCAGGTGTTCGCCATCAGATAGTGATGACACCAGGTGTTTTCTCAAAAGGTAACACCCATCACAAAACGCAAGTACACCCCTAAAGCAAGGAATTTCAATGTTTTCACAAACATATGTTATGTAATGAAACCTATTTCATCAATGTTTGATCGATGAAGGTATGTGGTCGATGAATATATTTGGGACAGAAAATGAGCTTTCGGCAATATAGCTGCCGGGGCATCTTCACGTATGGTATCCATATGGGGAATCGAACCCGGGTATTCGGCGTGACGAGCTTTACCAACTAGGCTACCCTATCATCCGAATGTGTTATGAACAAACAATTACAAAAGCAAATACCGTTGTGTCGAACTAACGTTTGTCTCGAAGTAAAAGCTAGGTCTCGGTTTATTCATTCTTTATTCATGATGTTTGGTTGTGTCGAGCCCTTATACTTCGACAAAACGGTGTTTGTACTCATGTTTTTGTTCGAAATAGGCGACTTTTTTACAATAAATCCTCGAGAAGGTATAAATAATAACTAAGATATAAGATCATATTAGGGGCCAGTTCAAACCTGCATCCCCATGTACGTGTAGGCCTGACCTTCCACGAGATGGTCAATAACTCCTCCCCCAAGTAAACTGACTGATCCTTCCTCTTCTACCCTGCCACGTTTCAGATGAAGAATGTTCAACTTGCCTTTGTGGAGTCCAAAGGATATGCCAATATCATTAGAAAAGGACTCGACAAGGAGATTCTGTTTTTAGAGTCGAATCCCCTTTGGCAAAACGTTTAAGGAAATCGATGTAAAGGAGTTGAGTAAGGGGTATTGTGATGATAGTGATTGAGTATGGTTTTACGCCGCTTTTAGCAATATTCCAGCAATATCACGGGTGGGGGACACCAGAAAAATGGGCTACACACATTGTACCCATGTCGGGAATCGAACCCGGGTCTTCGGCGTGACGAGCGAGCGCTTTAACCACTAGGCTACCCGACCGCCCCTTCCGAAGTAAGTAACATCCTTCAGCGCTATGATGCAACACAACCCTTACCATTTTATTATCAGCCAATCATGAAACAGTATTCCGTCACCGGTGTATTGTTTTTGAAATATAATTATCAAAATGCCAAGGAATAACTTGCAATCTATTTATTCACAAATAAACAAAACTGAATGCATAATAAATACATAATAATACACAATAACCTTTTACTCTTTATGGTGTTACACATTCATACATGCTGCATGTTTGGTTATACAGTTCACTCTCAACAGATTGATATAAACATTCATACTGACTTTTGATAGACATGTGATCGATATATATTTTACTCTCAAATCACTGACCATTATACATGCATACAATTTGTGATAGCCATAGATGGTGGTCGATATGTTCAAAAGTAAGTGAAAAAATAAAAAGACCGGTATGTGATCGAATGGTTGTCTTCTAAAGACGATAAAACATGTTTACGCCGTACATTCCCCTTCATATAGTGGACGCCCATTTAAAGGGGTGCTGTGCTCTGTGATCAGAATCCCATTTTCGGGATAGGGCTAGACTTTGGTATTGGTGATTGTCTGTGGGTAATTAGGATTAATATCAACAGATGGATAGATATACATAATACAGTTTGAGGATCCAGACAAATTGGGTTTTGAATAACTTTAATCAAGTGCTAGGCCTCGAGACTAGCCTCCATTGAAATAAATAGATGGATGGTTTGATATTTACATATCATTATCGAGATGAATATTCAGTTTGCATTTGTACCTTTAAAAAATTTTACCTGGAAATAAATGAATGTGTTCATGCTTTCCGTTATAGTAATAGAATATTATCACTCAGGTATCATATAAGCACAAAATAGTGAGTGAGTGAGTTTGGTTAAGCGCCGCTTTTAACGGTATTCTAGTTATATCAAGGGGTGTCAGTTTGATGTGGGAGGAAAGCCCAAAGTGATGAAGGTCTCAAACATTCACCATTTTTGTAAAGCCCACGAGCACGGGTAGCACGATATACATGTGTAAACGACAGTTGTAGGCGCTTGCTTTTGACGTGCAGTTTAATTCACAGTCAAATATTCACACAGAATAGACAGACACAAAATATTCCTAAAATACCCAGTTTTGTACTAAGGCACCAATATATTTAAAGCGAACTTTTATCACAAGGAAGGTACTTTCATTAAATTCAGATTGTTTACTCCGATGCGATACCTCCCTGGCTGATCTGACAACAAAGCCGCATCAGGTCAACTTTCATATCAGCCAATCAACGTCGAGGATCCTAAATTGTCGTATGAGTGACCGAAGCATTCAGTCCAGAAAACGAACTTAAACGACCAGTTCCGAATGTCATATAAACGTCGTGCCATTATATTGCTGTGGACATTTTACACACCCTGTCGTTTCTGAGCGCCTGGGCATTGACACTCAAAAGGGAGTACAATCTGAGGAATACTTCTTTGCTGGTTTCCTTACTCAAATCGAAATTTCCGAATCGAGGTTGGTATGGCGGTAAGAAAGTAAAGCTGTATCCTTCTTGAAAGCTGACTGAGCGGCCACTCACGGCTCACATCAGCGACCTTCTATAGAGGTGTCCTCGGGTCTATACGCAGAGAGAATCGTATCGAAGTAAACGATCAGATGTTAACGAGCTTACAGTCCCGGCGCTGGTCCGCACAGTCTGATGCTAAACCACACCTGAGGTCAACTTCAAGTATAGTCGAGTTTTTCATCGATATATAGTTTAACACCGAGACAGACTCCATGTCGGCACCGTGGTCCAATGTCGGCACTATAACCCAATGTCGGCACTATAACCCAATGTCGGCACTGTGGTCCAATATCGGCACTATAACCCAATGTCGGCACCGTGGTCCAATATCGGCACTATAACCCAATGTCGGCACTATTACCCAATGTCGGCACTATAACCCAATGTCGGCACCGTGGTCCAATATCGGCACCATAACCCAATGTCGGCACTATTACCCAATGTCGGCACTATAACCCAATGTCGGCACTATAACCCAATGTCGGCACTGTGGTCCAATATCGGCACTATAACCCAATGTCGGCACCGTGGTCCAATATCGGCACCATAACCCAATGTCGGCACTATAACCCAATGTCGGCACTATAACCCAATGTCGGCACTATAACCCAATGTCGGCACTGTGGTCCAATATAGGCACTATAACCCAATGTCGGCACTATAACCCAATGTCGGCACCGTGGTCCAATATCGGCACTATAACCCAATGTCGGCACCGTGGTCCAATATCGGCACTATAACCCAATGTCGGCACTCTGGTCCAATGTAGGCACTATAACCCAATGTCGGCACCGTGGTCCAATGTAGGCACTATAACCCAATGTCGGCACCGTGGTCCAATATCGGCACTATAACCCAATGTCGGCACTGTGGTCCAATATCGGCACTATAACCAAATGTCGGCACCGTGGTCCAATATCGGCACTATAACCCAATGTCGGCACTGTGGTCCAATGTAGGCACTATAACCCAATGTCGGCACTGTGGTCCAATGTAGGCACTATAACCCAATGTCGGCACCGTGGTCCAATGTAGGCACTATAACCTAATGTCGGCACCGTGGTCCAATATAGGCACTATAACCCAATGTCGGCACTGTGGTCCAATATAGGCACTATAACCCAATGTCGGCACTGTGGTCCAATATAGGCACTATAACCCAATGTCGGCACTGTGGTCCAATGTAGGCACTATAACCCAAATTGGCACTGTGGTCCAATATCGGCACTATAACCCAATGTCGGCACTGTGGTCCAATATCGGCACTATAACCCAATGTCGGCACCGTGGTCCAATATCGGCACTATAACCCAATGTCGGCACTGTGGTCCAATATCGGCACTAAAACCCAATGTCGGCACTGTGGTCCAATATCGGCTCTATGGTCTAATATCGACACTATGTTCAAATATCGGCTCTATTTCCTTATATCGGCACTATGTTCTAATAACGGCACTATGTTCTAATATCGGGGCCATGGTCTAATATCGGCACTATGCTCTAATATCGGCACTGTAATCTATTTTAGGCTCTATGGTCTGATATCGACACTATGTTCTAATATCGGCAATATGGTCTCATATCGGCATTGTGTTCTAATAAAGGCACTATGTTCTAATATCGGCACTGTAATCCAATATCGACACTATGGTCTAATATCGGCACTATGTTCTAATAACGGCACTATGTTCTTATATCGGCACTATGTTCTAATATCGGCACTGTAATCCAATATCGACACTATGGTCTAATATCGGCACTGTGTTCTAATATCGGCACTGTGTTCTAATATTGGCACCATGGTCTTATATCGGCACTATGTTCTAATATCGGCACTGTAATCCAATATCGGCTCTATGGTCTAATATCGACGCTATGTTCTTATATCGGCATTATGTTCTAATATCGGCTCTGTGGTCAATATCGGCACCATGGTCTAATAACGGCACTATGGTCTAATATCGACACTATGTTCAAATATCGGCTCTATTTCCTTATATCGGCACTATGTTCTAATAACGGCACTATGTTCTAATATCGGGGCCATGGTCTAATATCGGCACTATGCTCTAATATCGGCACTGTAATCCATTTTAGGCTCTATGGTCTGATATCGACACTATGTTCTAATATCGGCAATATGGTCTCATATCGGCATTGTGTTCTAATAAAGGCACTATGTTCTAATATCGGCACTGTAATCCAATATCGACACTATGGTCTAATATCGGCAATATGGTCTCATATCGGCATTGTGTTCTAATAAAGGCACTATGTTCTAATATCGGCACTGTAATCCAATATCGACACTATGGTCTAATATCGGCACTATGTTCTAATAACGGCACTATGTTCTAATATCGGCACTATGTTCTAATATCGGCACTGTAATCCAATATCGACACTATGGTCTAATATCGGCACTGTGTTCTAATATCGGCACTGTGTTCTAATATTGGCACCATGGTCTAATATCGGCACTATGTTCTAATATCGGCACTGTAATCCAATATCGGCTCTATGGTCTAATATCGACACTATGTTCTTATATCGGCACTATGTTCTAATATCGGCTCTGTGGTCAATATCGGCACCATGGTCTAATAACGGCACCATGGTCTAATATCGGCACCATGTTCTAATATCGGCACTATGTTCTAATATCGGTACTGTGGTCTAATGTCGGCACTTTGGTCTAATATCGGCACTGTGATCCAATATCGGCTCTACGGTCTAATATCGACACTACGTTCTTATTTCGGCTCTATGTTCTAACATTGGATCACCGCTTGGGTCAAACTACGGACGTTGAGGTAAAGAGGACATATTGTATCAGACTAAGTCAAATTCACAAAGGTTGACAAAGTCTTAGCCATTTATGATACCGACCTGTCATTAAAAGAAAGAAAATGGTGGGAATAGTATTAACAATTGTTAAATCTACAAATATACCACGTTCAAGCTAGAAAACACTTGACTTTTCAATCATTCCAAGACATCATGACTGCTATGAAGACATTGTTGTTATTTGTTTTTGTTTGTTCTGGTGACGGAGGGGGCTCGTCGCTTGCCCTGGATATATGCCCTGAAGTAGAAGTTGAGGAACAGCGCCATGATGGAGGCAGCGTATGTGAAGAGCAGCTTGTCGAACAACTTGGGAAAGTCGCACTCCACGAAAAAGTTCACGCCTGCGTGGACAAGCATGAGCACAAACTGGGTCTGGAATATAAGGAAAACAAGTTAATATAAAACATTAAAAATATAAAATATAATTATATACTGTATAAAAATATACAATGTAAAAAACATGTTTTTTAATGATAATTTCCAACAGTGTTCGTTTTTGGTTGTTTAACGCTTCCTTAGCAATAATGCAGGCATATGATACCTTTGCGTAATACATTTGGAAAATACATCCTGTGATTGACATTATAAGTATCGATCTATGCAATAGGGTTACGACTAGACGCAAATCAACCAAGTCACCTAGCTTACTACCCGAACGATTTAATCGCCTCTTTCTACAATCATTGGTTGCTTGGGACCTGCATTCATATCCAAAATCCCCACGGGTACCCGCACGAGTGAGTGAGTGAGTGAGTTGGGTTTAACGCCGCATTTAACAGTATTCCAGTTATATCACGGCGTGTCAACTAGCTTGATGTGGAGGAAAGCCCGAAGTGATGCAGGTTGGGACGTTTACCACCTTGCTGAAACCCACGAGCACGGGTATGGTACTGACGCACCCAGAAACATTATCAGGACAAATCTGGGATTCGAACCTACAAACACAGGTTTCCGGCTGCGAGCTCTGCACTGAGAATTGTGTCACGACCGGTTGTAGACGACCGAGACACTACACTTTCGATCAATCTACATGGGTTATATATTTGTGATCAGTGTCGGATCCGGGAGGGTTCTGCGGTGGCAGCCTCGCTTTTTGACGATGAAATTTTGTATGGGCAATGCCTACCAAGATAAAATGTTGATTTGGTTGACAAAGTCAAATTCACAATGGTTGACAAAGTCTTAGCCATGTATGATACCGACCTGTTATTAACAGAAAGAAAATGGTGGGAAAAGTATTAACAATTGTTAAATCTACAAATATGCCACGTTCAAGCTAACATTCTGATGACGTAAAGTAATCAATTTGTGATGTCGTGAACAATGATCAAGTTACTTTGTTCTTTACGTGACAGGTGTATATCGTCATATTAATTACGGTGATTTATCGATAAAGGCATCGTCAAACTATGGAATCCTAGTAGGGACATTGTCGCGTTGTTACAAAAACAAGCAAAAACTGTCACCAAATTTCACCAAAGCCCGACCATGCGACAAATGGTCAAAATGTAATGGCAACATCGCGTCAATGTCACTTCTAGCATATCAAACTGCACATTGCAAAATTAATGAATTATTGTGGACAATAACATCCCAATCACGCCAGTGACCAACAATCAACGGTAACAGTCTGTGTGTTTCTTCGTCATGTTTCGGTCGCATCCCTGAAGCACTCTCATGTGCAAATGGGTATTAATGGTATTTCTACGGCATCGATACCAACACCACATCTTGGAATAAATACGTTATTTAAAACAACAGGATTTCATTATCAAAGGCACGCACTGTTCAAAATCCACCAAGGATGTGTAGCGTGACAACATGGTGTTACTTTGATGAATTTAGGTCTGTCGTGCTGTGATGAAATGTCCTTTTTTGGTCACCCGCTGAAGGTTGAGCTAATTAAACATGCTGAGAACGTACAAGGAAACTTTGATCACGAAAGCCAACTTTCAAAGTGAATCTTGTGATGCATCCCGTCGTGACGAGGAGGAAGACTATGTTTGTGTTGTACGTGTCATACTTCCAGTCACTGGCGAGTGAAGGACAATTCCCTATGGCTTGTGGAGTGAGTGAGTTTGGTTTAACGCCGCTTTTAACAGTATTCCAGTTATATCAAGGCGTGTCAGCTTAAAGCCCGAAGTGATGCAAGTCTCAGACGTTTACCACTTCGCTGAAACCTTGGAGCATGGGTATGGTGCTGACAAACCTAGAAACATAATCAGGGTGAACCGGGATTCGAACCCCAAATCATAGGTTTCTGGCGGGCCCAAGGGACGCAACTCTGCAACTTTGGTTTGTGGACAACTTGTTGCTTGAAGAGTAATCAATATGTCGATAAACGCGGATGGGGTCTGATTCTATTTGTCTACAGTAGTTGGCGAAAGTTAAGGTGTTTGAAAATTGTTATACTGGATTTAGGTATGTTTGGAAATGCATTTCACTTCATGGCGTCATACTATTTTGTCATAACATTCAACTTATTGAATAAAACGAAAAGCTCACATACAGTGGTATGGACAATGCGTGACGACGTAATGTCTCATAAATGTGCTCCACATATCGTACGAATGTAGGGACTCGAATCCGGTTCTTCAGCTTAACGAGCAGACGCTTTAGGTGAGGTGAGGTGAAATTGGGTTTAACGTCGCGTCCAAGATTATTGCACTTATATAGCGACGTGCATGCACGTGTATGTGTGTGTGTGGCTGCTTGTACTAGTCCGGACTGATGCCGATTTATAGTGCTAGCTCACTGAGATACCATGCCGCAGTTTAACATGAATACCCCACTCAGACACAGTATACTGACTCCGAGCCGACCAGTCCTTGTTTTAGCCCCTTAATGCCGAGCGCCAGACAGGGTAACAACAAGTACAATCTTTTAACGTCTTTTTGTATGACGCGGCCCGGGATCGAACCCTGGACCTTCCGCTCTCCGAGCAGACGCTTTAACTAATGGGCTACCCTACCACCAGACAAGGCATAATATCTACTAGATTGACAATGAATAGACTACAGACAATCAGACCCGCGAGTCTTTTGATATCAAATTCAATACGAGTTGATAAAAGTGGCAAAACGAAGAGGTTTGCCGAGGAGTTTTTTCCACTTTTATCAACGAGTGTTGATATATTTCATATCAAAAGACACGAGGGTGAGATTTTATTTATCATCCAACATCATTCTTCCAACTTTTTCAGTTTGTAGATAGTAATAAGCAGTGTCTTAAGTGTAAATAATACTGTTAACAGCTTCAGCAGCAGAGCCATTGGTGAAGTCATTTGATTGTGACGTCATGATAACCAATGACGTCACAATGGTCTGCAAACCATAGTGATGTATTTTCTTTGCAGCGATATCTACAATATAGATATCGCTTGATCTCACCCAAGCGATATCTCCCGTGAAGCCAGTTTGGGATGATAAATGTACTTATTCTCGCCACTGAACATATATGAGATGTCTGGCCATATTGAACCGCTATATGAAGTCAATGATGAAGACAAATATACATGTTAGCGATGTGTTCGGTGTGAGGAACCAATCTACATTGTGCGCCCAAACCACGAGTAATGTCGGGCACAAATAGGCCATACATTGCCGCCAGTGAATCAATGGCACTACATGCACCATCAAAACATCGCCTTACAAAAGCATGTGGTAACTAAACACTGGAACCGCTTCATGAGTTGATTATCATTTGAAGGGCAAATAATGGTAGACATAATTATAGCTCAGGATACCGCTCTTTGGAAAAGTGGGTGTGGGATGAGAGTATGGGGGTTGGGACGTGGGTGCACTTAAAATACATATAACTACAGTAAAGTACGTTTATGACGAACACGCTTTCACGGGATATAACGAACATATTTTTTGGTCACGGCCATTTTCTGTATATATGCTGTATATTTGCTTATAACGAACTACGGTTATTAGGAACTAAAAATAGTGGCTCCAGTGAGTTCGTTATAACCGTAGTTTACTGTATATGGAAATAATTCGGGATACCATGTGCGTTTTTTAGCCAAAGTAATATTCAATTAATTGGTATTTTTGTTGCAAACGTGACACTTAATTATGTATTTTTTTTATTCTTCAGCATTAGTATGCCTCAACAAAAAGGTGTGTGTTTGGGGGTGTGGAGGTCCCTCCTGAAGGTGCTCCGCCCCTTCATCCCCTCTCTGGATCCGTGAATGCTACTTTCAAGTGGAACAATCGCAAACAGTGCCAACTGTTCTGAGTGCTGATTTTCATAGCGCCTGACGTACAGACTGTCTTGTTATAGGTCGTTGTAGGTATCCACAAACACCAGTATTGATATCACCACGTCCTATCAAGCAGCCCTATCAATATTAACTGCCAATAAACGTAACCGAAACTATATATCGTGCATCAAAGTATTCACATTTACACGATTACACTCGAGATTTATCACAACAAACTCCGAAATATCAGACCATAAAATAGTTCTCGTAGACGCCATCCTCCATTATCTGTGTATAATATCTCAGTCCTGTTAATACAAATACCCTGGAGTCATTCGTTGCCGTCTCCATATCTCACCAGGTATTTTTTCTCCCACGTGAATGTAATTTGATTAAGTGGCTGTTTTAAACGTTGTGTCATTCATATCGGACTCAAAACGAAGTCCCGACGCCCACAGTGTAGCCATTGTCCATGCTGATCTGGAAATGGATTTTGAACCTACTTTTCACCATGGCTAGAACACTACGTCTACACTGCAACGCCCGATGGTGGATGTGGATGTGGATGTGGGTGTGGATGAGGATGGGTGTGAATTTACAGATAACGGTGTAGGGCGTGTGCGTGTGCGTGTGCGTGTGCGTGTGTGTGTGCGTGTGCGTTTGTGTGTGTGCTTCAGGCTGTTGAAACATATAGCCTCTTACAAAAGTTGTATTGTGACAACGTGTTCTTCTAATAATTTCAGACTCATAGTTTTAAATAAAATAAAATATCTGTCGTTGTGTAAGAAGTATTTCCAGATTTAGGTTAGTTTGACAATATGCCATGCGTTCATTCGACAATGGGTCTTTCAAAGGGTCTCGATCACTGACATGTAATGGACTTTACAGATAACGGAAGACCTGAAGTGCTTTAAGAGCTCTGAGAAGATACATCCGTGAACGACAACAGTGAAAAACGGCAACAACCTTTTCTACACTACTTTATCAAAAACGGTAAACCCCAAAACGCCAACACGAATTCGTAAAATAACAATGTGTAATCTGTCAGAACAAAGCTATACATTATTGAGTCAAATGTGCTCTCCGTGTTTAGCTTTAACCTGTCAATCAGTAAAATAACATGGGAAGATTGGAATACGAATATGTTTTGGATAAAAATGTTAATGGGCATGGATACACACGTTTGGGTATTTGTTATGTGTTTTAAGTAAATATATTGTGCACTTTTTTTCTCAAATAAATCCGTATTGATAGAATAGTGATGAAAGACGTGTAAACAATGATGAATGGGAAACGCTTATATAAATCATTTTAATTGCCAATTTCTTCTTCTCGTCTCCTTCTGATAGGGGGCGGTCGGTTAGCCTAGTGGTTAAAGGGTTAGCTCGTCACGCCGAAGACCCGGGTTCGATTCCCGACATGGCTACAATATGTGAAGCCCCCGCCCTGATATTGCTGGAATATTGCTAAAAGCGGCGTAAAACCATACTCACTCACTCACTCCTTCTGACCGTTACATATACCATACTAGATATATACTATGCAAAAAAAGTAGGGGATAGTGAGAATCATCAAGACACATCTTCCGATCTATATAATATTGGCAAACGGAAATGATATGATCATATCTGCTGGGGAGAAGCCGATCATATCTGCCGGAGAGAAGGCGATCAGATGTAATGGGTTCTACTGGCCGGCACTAGGTCGTTAAAGAAGTCGGGGGTAAATTCTTTTCCCAAGTTTTTGCGTTTTGCAGCCAACATCACTCATATCGGATAAAACTCATCAGTGAGATCTCCAAGTTCATAGAGAGTGGTGGGTGGATTTGAAGGTTGATGTACACGTCTGCCAATGACGTTCCAGACGTGTCCAATGGGGAAAAGATCAGTGTGGACTGAGTGTTTGCCATGGCATAACATGGATGTATTGCTGTTGGAGGAATAGGGTCAATATCCTGGCACGTCTGGGCAACAATATTCTGACGTATGCCCACACCCAACATGCCTATGTGACGTAAAATAATAATATTTGTTTGTGTGTTGTCTAACGCCGCACTCAGCAATATTCCAGCTATATGTCGGCGGTCTGTAAATAATAGAGTCTGGACCAGACAATCCAGTGATTGACATCATGAGCATCGATCCACAAAATGGGATACGATGACATGCATTAACCAAGTCAGCAAGCCTGACCACCCGATCACGTTAGTCGCCTCCTACGACAAGCAGAGTTGCCTTTTACGGCAAGCATGGGTTGCTGAAGACCAATTCTACCTCGGATTTTTACGGGTTAGATAATAACAATTCATTTTGAGTATGGACATGTGTATAAATGACATTGCATTTGATTGTGTTACTGGGGCCATCTGGACTCGCCATATCATTCTAGACTTGAGTTGGATTAATGTTTCAATTTCTCTAGGATCTGGGAGAGAAACTAATCTTCGAATTGTGCTTTACGGAAACAGGCGAGAAATGACGACTGCAGCATGCGAGGAGATCCCGTGATACTTACCAGCTGGAACATGGTGAGGTAGCGCTTCCACCAGAGGTACTTCTGCATGCAGGGCCCTATGGCGGACAGTCCATAGTAGAGGTACATCACGACGTGCACCAGAGAGTTGAGCAACGGGTACAAGAAACCTGGCACACAGAAGTGACACAGAGTTACATAGAAGCACCATCATCCTCGAGTATCCAGGGACTTAAATCTCAACTTAATTATGATTAATACCCTGGACCCCATTCCACTATATTGAGTGGGTGAGGATTGTTGAGTTTAACGACGCTTTAAACAGTATTGTCAGCTTGGTATAGGAGGAAAGTCATTTTCCGAATAATTCCCACATACATATAAGCGGTAATACACAATACACGTATAATGTGTCTTCAATATGATCCAATCATTTCCATTTGTAGTTGGACGTATTTTCATATTCAGGCGCTCCCAATGCAAACCTTTTATAAGATGAATTTTGCAAGTGATCTTACAGTCCAATAAAGGAACCAACATTCCGCGAAGCAACTACTACAAAGGCAAGTGACTTTGTTCGAAATGTGCCTCTGTTCACCCAGCAGTGAGTGGGTACCCGGTAGGATGAGATGGTAATGTGGCTGTTAACCCTTCTAGCGCCTCATAGGCAGCTTGGTTTGTATACTCCCCAGGGAGATGAGAATGGTAATCGAGTGCTCACTGATCCATTGACCGGGGTAATAATAGTGTAACGCTATGAGCATCCACTTGGTGAATGGAATCTGGTGCAATATAAATTCACTTATTATTATTATTATTATTACTCACTTTGCCCTCCGGATACCCATTTCATGCCTGACCACGTGACCACAACTATGCTGGTGTGATGATACACGTGTAGAAACGTTATCTGCGAATTTTTCTTCCTCAAAATGAAAAATACCTGCAAAGCAAACATTTAATATAAGAAAATATAATTGATACTCAAATGAAGTTGTTTGATAGGCATTACTTAGAAGTTGACGGATGACAAAGTAGACACAATTTATGGATAACCCGTCGTTATGGTATAGATCCTTATACGGTTGTAAAGCAGGACTGAATAATGAACACGGTACAGGATATACGAGGATATAATGAGGATTTTTTTTTTGTACATCACCGAGCGTCGCGTTTCTTGCAGTCTTGTTGTTAACGTTTTCGATGCGAAGCATGTATTACACAGCAAAAAACAAAATAACTAATCAATATGGAAAAAAAGGTATAGTAAACGACCCGGTTCAAATATCATGTAGAATCATTAGTTTCGTAAATGAACTACGACACAAAACCATTTCAATTATTACTTCGATGGCTTGCTCTGCTTGTCACGTGTTCTTTTTTAATGTAACTTATTCAGTTGAAAAAGAGCGGAGTTCATACCACCATATGTATGTCCATATGAAAGCAGTGAAGCGTGTCTGTTCTCGCCACACGTCAGGTCGATGTGTGCGATCAGGGTATAATGGCGTTTGGGGAAGTAAAGTATGTCTTTCACAATGGTGACAGCTGTCACAGTCGAGGTACTGATTTCCTGCCATTTTCACCACAGCCTATAATTGTTTAGGACATATTGGTGCTTCGCAGACCTAACGAACGTTGACAATGAAATAGTCACGAATAGATTACTCGGTGGCGTAGCCCAGTGGTTCAAAGCGTACGCTCGGATACCTTACATCGATGTATTGTGAGTGAAGCTCATTCTGGTGTCCCCTGACCTGATATTGCTGGAATATTGTTAAAAGCGGCGGGAAATCCCATTATACACACTCACTATTTAGAGGAGGGCAAAGTTCTTTGATCTGGTCTCACGTTGTTGGCCTGGGTCTAGAGTTTGTAGTGAGTGAGTGAGTTGGGTTTAACGCCGCTTTTAACAGTATTCCAGTTATATCGCGGCGTGTCAGCTTAATGTGGGAGGAAAGCCCGAAGTGATGCAGGTCGAGGCGCCTTAGACGACTGGGCCCCCCGTGCCCCCCTAGAGTTTGTAATTATTGAATTGTGTCAAACTCAGACGTTATGCTTTTTTACATTTGGCAAGCATCACATGCTAGATTAATATGCATAAGGTGTGTCAATTAATACAAGTCTATTCCCCTTTAAACAGGGTTGAGTCAAACGAACGGTTGAGTGGATGGGCGATTGAATGGATATTATTTTACGCCGCATCAGCAATATCTATGCTGTATCACACGGGCATGTAAACAGTAAAATCTGGGTCACCCAAACCAGTGGTTGATAGCATGAGGAACACAATTTGCCTACCCTTACTGTACACTCATGGGGTCCTACTCTACTCCGGAATTCCTACTATGGCACTCAAGTTGGATGCGGGAAACTTACAAAAAAGAATAGAAAAACAGTAAATGAAAGGTGTGCGCAGTGAAGCATCCCTAAAGCATTATGAGTGAGTGAGTGAGTTGGGTTTAACGCCGCTTTAAAGAATATTCCTGTTATATCACTGCGTTGAAGCAGGATGAAATATAGACATATATGTTCCTGCAAATATTAAAACTTATATTCAAATTAATGTTCAAATTCGACCTTCCTGCACCTAGGAACACAATGTCCAGCACATAACATGTGCCTCCACCATATGGCTGGAATATAGCCGAGTGCGGCGTTAAACAACAAACAATCACTGCATTGAGTGAGGGGTTTTTCGCCACTTTTAGCAAATATTCCAGGAATAAAACGGCGGGGGACCCCAGAAATGGGCTCCACACATTGTACCCATGAGGTAATCAAACCCGTGCATTTTGCGTGACGAGCGAACCCTTTAAACACTAGGCCACCACACCGCCCCTCATAATATGAAAGCCTTACCGTATCTATAAGTTCTATAATCTTCGAAAAGAAAAACAGCCAGCCTACATACAGCGCCTGGAATAAAGGTGGACAGAAAGTGACATTGTTATAATGTTGTCAAAAAGTGTATAAAAAGTTCTACAAGAATAGAATAGTTACAATATCCTGGTAAAGTCGTAACACACAACTTTTGGACACAGAAGAAAGCGGGACAGTCCAATTTTACCAAGGGGTGATAAGTATCATATTATTCTGCCCCACAGCGCTTTTAAAGTAACATTTAGTTATGAAAAATATTGTCGATCCCCCTCCCCCCCTCCTCAACTCTGACAAAACTCTCATTTCATCACTTATGGGTGTCTGTATTGGCCCAGGTGTTCATCACGTCCTGACTCGCAGGCGTTCCGCGTGCACCGGAAGAATCCATTTATATTGAGCAGGGGCGGGTGACGCGGTGCACGTGGAGTTCATGCTCTACGTATATTCGTCATTGATCTACGTCGAGCCGACAGGCCAACCTTCCATTTTTCTCAATACCTACCTCAATAGCGTCTGGTCGATCTGTGTAGTCTATAGGCTGACACACCAAACTGAAACGACCGCGGATCGCCATTTGAAGTGTCTGAAACATGAACACATTCCTTAAAGGGGTACAGTGGTGTCAGAATCAATCTAGGCACGGATCGAGTCGATAGTTTGGATGTGTATTTCTTCATTTTGTTACAAAATTCGTCGCAGCGAGGGCATTCGATCATCGACATGCAATCAAACACTATGTTTTTTTGCAAATGTATGCAAAAATGCCGAGTTGAAGACTAAAAGGTCTTACATATATCAGAAACAACTCTTCTGTATGTATTCGTGCTAGAAACATTCCAAGAGGATTCCCCGGTAATGTGGGAGTTGTCCCTTAATCATTTAAAAAAATCCGTCTCGTGAATATGTGTGAATGATAACCTATGATCGCCTATGAACGTCGGTTTCGCGATCATGTGACCGGTCTGTCTCCCAAAGGAAAAACCGTACACCATTACTTTACATTATAAACTATTAAAATTTATGCAAGAATATTACCCACTGTTTGTAAACTCCCAATCTAACGTCACATCGTAGTTCACTGCAGTAGTATAGTCATAACGCTTATAAACCTAGACAGATAACACGAGAGTCGAACCCACGATTAAGGGGCACAACTTGCGGTGCCTTGGAAGTCTTGGCCCCCTGTGACCCACATCCACAATGATAATGTATTGACTGTCTAGTCTCTACATGTCTCTTGCACATTGTGTTGTGTATTAAAGGCGAGATCAAAGTCCACCTGAACGTGTAATTGTCACAAACATATATAATATACCAGTGACAGTATTCTGCGTATTCTTTTTATAACGATAATAAATCATACGGTGTCTATGTAAGTATCAACAATACTGTGTCTACGTTATAATAAATCATACTATGTAATTATGAGTGAGTGAGTTTGGTTTAACGCCGCTTTTAACAGTATTCGATTTATATCACGGCGTGTTAGCTTAATATTGGAGAAGCCAATTGCTGGTGTCCCCCGCCGGGATATTGCTGGAATATTGCTAAAAGCGGCGTAAAACCATACTCATTCACTCACTCACTTAATGTTGGAGGAAAATCCGAAATGATGTCTCAGACGTTTACCACTTTGGTGAAACCAACGAGCAAGGTATGGTGCTGACAAACCTAGAAACATAATCGGGGCGAACTGGGACTTGAACCCAGTATGAAAGGTTCCTGGGTGCCGTTGTACAAAACAACCTTAGCACTAAGACTGTCGTAAGTCTATGGCAAGGTTTGGGTGTTACGATCACCTTAGCGCTAAGACCGCTTCGTACAACGGCACTCTGGTGTGCCGAAGGACACACGCATGTCATCATGAATCGTACTATGTAATTATAAATAACTCTGTGTATATATACAATAATACACGACGTTGTGTGGCATGGGATGAAGCATTGTTTGTATATAATTGTTAGTCATGATCTTGTTGTGCCTTGTCATCGCTATGTTGGCTATTACGCCCACAGGAGTCTGTCTGATAATCGAGACTGGCTATTCTCTGGCGATGACATTTTATATATTGTGAATATTGACCATGTATTAAATCTATAGAATTAGTAATACTAGTGTGTCTATGTGGGTATTGATCAATGTGTACCTTTGTCAGCGTCACAGTTCTGCATCTGTTTACGGAGAGAGATCTACATTCAGTTCACTGTGTGCACGCAAGTAATGTGTATAAAGAGTACAGGACTCGATTTAAGGAACTTGATTTAACGCACACCAGGCGCAGGTTGACATGGAAACCTAGTTGCACCAGACAAAATCAAGGTGCACCCTGGTCCTATAAATTTATCAAAGTTGAAACCTAGATCCATAAACTATTCTAAATATATAAATCGTATTGCTGTTATACATAATAGGAACATAATCTTGTACTCACAGTTTGATGACGACAAGCCCCCAAAAGCATGACCAATTACACATAACAGGGATTATTGATGTAGTATAGTACACAAGTCTGAGAGATATTCACTGCGTGGATCGATGCTCATGATGTCAATCACTGGATTGTCTGGTCCAGATATTTACAGATCGCCGTCATATAGCTGGAATATTGCTGAGTGCGGCGTTAAACAACAAAGACAAAGAATTATTGATATACACGCTGTATATGTTTGTGTTAGAAATATACTGTGTAAGAAAAAAATATTTTTATAAAAATTAAGCCGTTGCTCAATTAATCAACATGTAGGCTTAAACTGAAGTGGTCTAAATTTTAATGATGGGGCACATGTGGCCCAATGGTCTAAGGTGCTGCAATTCGCTATGCAGAGTTGTGTCTCTCGGGTATCATATACCTATGATCGTGGGTTCGAATCACAGTTCACCATGATTATGTTTCTGGGTTCGTCAGCACCATTACTCGTGGGTTTCACCAAAGTGGTAAAATCCTTACACCTGCTTCACTTCGGGCTTTCCTCCCACATTAAGCTGACACGTGATATAACTGGAATGCAATTAAATACGGCGTTAAACCAAAGTCACTAAACTATTAGGATGTGAGAAGCTGCATCCTGAAAGAAATACGTCCAGGTTTGAAGTCAGAAGAAGGGATGTCCTACCTTCACGAATATCCAGAAAGACAAGGCTACCATTGAAAAGTTGTAGCCGACGAGCAGCCATCTTAGATTGAGCGGTTTCTGCTGCTCCATCATCCGGGGCCCGTGGAGGACGACCAGGATGTACAGAAGGAGGATGCTGAGGATGGGCACGGGGGTCTGGGCGAGGGGGAGATCAAAGGCCCGGGGGTCTGGCAGAGTAAAGGAATAGCAGCATGGTGAACTTCGGATCAAGTAATATGTAAAGTCAACAGGTTCCTAAAATTAAAGAGACCATAGAAAAATGAACAATCTGAAATGTTCAGGAAAATTTGAAAATTGTTTTAATTGTTCAAAAAGGTTAATCATACATTTATCGACGGATCTAAAAACGAGATGACAGAATCTCACCAGATTGCGTTTTCAAAAACAACAACCCATATCCCCACTTGTTGATAAATGATAAATAACAGCATCACATTACACTTCAAAGTCAATCTGTTCTATCAATAGCCTCTATATCGGACCGCCTCCGTGGTCTAGTGGTAGCGCATCTGCCCGGAGGTCGGTAGTTCGATCCCCGGCCGCGTCAAAGCAAAACATGTTAAAAGTATGTACTTGTTGTAGCCCGGCCTGGCAGTCGGCATTGAGGGACTAAAACATGACCAGGCCCCTCGATGTCAGTATAATGACTGAGTAGGCTATCCATGTGAAACTGCAGCATGGTGTCTCAGTGCGTTGGCACAAAAAATGGCAATATTTGGGACTAGTAGGAGCAGCTACACACACACTCACACGCACGCACACGCACACACACACACACGCACGCACGCACGCACGCACGCACGAACCCACGTGCGCACACGCACAGGCAATACACGGACACACACAAGTGCAATGTACAATGTAAGTGCAATAGTCTTGAACGCGAAGTTAAACCCCATTTTACCTCACCTCACAACCTGTCGTATCCATGGTTTTTCTAGCATTTACTTCGAGAATCCGGAAGTAATGACTTCAACACAACGTAGACGTACCTGCTTTGCCCATGGAGTCGTTGTACCATCCCCTCATATCCTCCAGCAGCTCTTGCACCAACATGATGACGCTTGGTACTGTGGACAGAGAGGGCCTGTGTTTTATACGTATTCTTATCAACAATAAAATGTAAAAAAGCGTTCAAACTCATATCTCTGTTGCGTGAAAAGACCCGGGGTACAATCAAGATGGAAGTGACACATTGACGAACGCGTATCCTCATGAAGCTCTCACGTTCCCAAGTCATTGGGTATGACCATCCGGCCCCGAAAGTTGCTGAATACCAATTCTGACCCGGACTGAAGTACACGCAGTTCGTTAAACGGGTGAATGTGTTCTGCCCTCGACGTGCGTGCCCGAGTGAGTGAGTGAGTGAGTGAGTGAGTGAGGGGGGAGGGAGGGCGCGGGGGAGTGACTAGCTCCACCCGTGTTCCCGTGCAATCAGGACTGTCGTGAAGTCTTTGTCCCTTGAACGTTCTGAAGCCCTTTCTTTGCGACAGGGAAATATTACTTTCCATTGCTGCTAACAGGAAAGAATATGATTTCGTGAAACACTATGACATGCCCAGCGGAAACGTTTCTCAATAGCAGATCCACATATTTTTTTTCAAACTTTCAAACTTTATATCACGCGCGTCTCAGGGAGGTGGCTATTTAACAAAACAAAAAACATTGGCAAATAAATCATTCATGCCATACCCTATCCAGCTCCCCTACCAACTTAGGTGTTATTTTATGGAATCATATGTCCTCATACACAGTGGAGTCGTATTTGTTGTTCAACGTACTGGTGAGAACATGAGGGTTATCATAAGAAGGCTTTTTCTGAATTGTTCCCAATTTCAAATCAAACGTGGCAATGCATTTAAGTCGCATTTGTCCCCTGACCCGTGAAGATCCGGGTTAGAATAGGTCTTCAGCAACCCATGCTTGCCGTAAAAGGCGACTGTGCTTGTCGCAAGAGGCGATTAACGGGGTCGGTAGTCAGGTTCGCTGACTTGGTTGATGCATGTTATCGTATCCAAATTACGTGGATCGATGCTCACGATGTCAATCACTGGATTGTCCGGTCCAGACTCCATAATTTACAGACCTCAGTCATATAGATGGAATATTTCTGATAGCGGCGTTGTAAAAACCAAAAAAAACCAAAAAAAAAACCCTCAAAGCAATACTTCTGTTCAGTTTCACCAAAGGGGCGGTGGTGATTAACATTGTTCAATGTATATACATTTCGTGTCCTGAAAACCAGGTAATTCCAACTACAAAAATATAACTTTCGAGTTGAAATTTACAATGCTTGTATTTTAACTAGATGTTATTCCACGTTCACTGTATTTGGTACGAACATGCATAGATGTATTCTCTAGTCATAAGTACATGCTAACGTTTCGAAAAGTTCATACATATTCAACAAAATAGATTTTTCTGTTTGGATATGGAACAATTATCTAAAATATTTACAGAAATCTTGAGGTCCAGAAACAGCATTTCCAGTTTGGAACTATACTTTAGATATGTATTTGTTGTCTGTATGTCACAAAACCTGCTAGAAAGGAGAAATATTCCTTTTCTATTTTCATCTTTATTGATAACTATTTGAGCAAAAAAAACATCAACAACTTCATTTAGTACTTCATTACCAGTTACAATTAAATGGCATCATCTTACCACCATTCCAGGAACCAGTTATAACTAAATGTCATTATCGTAGCACCATTCCAGGAACCAGTTATAACTAAATGTCATCATCGTAGCACCATTCCAGGAACCAGTTATAACTAAATGTCATCATCTTAGCACCATTCCAGGAACCAGTTATAACTAAATGTCATCATCTTAGCACCATTCCAGGAACCAGTTACAACTAAATGTCATCATCTTAGCACCATTCCAGGAACCAGTTACAACTAAATGTCTTTTTCTTAGCACCATTCCCGGGACCGACTATAAGTAAATGTCTTCAGCATTGCACCATTCCAGGAACCAGTTACAACTAAATGTCAATATCTTAGCACCATTCCAGGACCAGGAACCAGTTACCACTAACAGACATATTGTGAACGGATGGAGAAGGACTCAGTGAAGGAAGTTTTATATTTCAAACTGTACAAGTCATCTGCACATCTGTACATCATCTGTACCAAGGTCTGGGAGGGAGTAGGATAGTTTACATGCAGAAGATTGATTCTCAGATGCTCTGAACGGTTGATTGTCTGACATTCCAATCTATTTTTTTAATTTGGAATAACTGGTGTCGCTTAAAAACACCCCGGCTATCAACAGTAGTGTCGGATGTCACTGACATTAAGACACATCCTCAACGATGTAGCCGACAGTCATGGTATATCCTAATACTGAATATTGAAGAAGCAAACTGATATATAAGAAATGTGTTAACTTTAAATGTGTGCACTTGATACTGAATCCTTAAGTGACAAGTCAGCGAATGAAATGGATGGATAAGCTACCCCCTAACAAGATAAAAAACACACACAACAGAACACCAATGTTTTTGAGTTGATCTGGAGAAATACTGGTGAAAGTCGCATTTAAATGAAGAAGCTTCCTACAAAACTTGATGATTTCAAAATAGTAATTATTTAACAAGAGACAGTATTCCAATCTCGATATTTGTAAGACTGAATTCAACCGCTGAAAAAGTGTTCATCAGACAAATCAAGGATTTTTAGTCACAAATGAAGAATAGATTGGATGATATTATGAATTTACCTGCACGTTTTGGTCACATTTTGAAGAAATTCACGGACTGATACTACGGACAGAATACGAACAGTTAATTATGAAGGAAGACCGTGCCCACTGAAACAATACTGATGCACAAGTATTAGTTTGTGCTTAAAGCCCTGTTCTTAGTACCATATCTCCAAAAGAAAATTATAGTGATGTTTCACAACCATACTGTTCTATCTCCAAAACGAACATGAAAGTGTCTGTATTCAGATAGAAATGGCCAATAGAGATTACTACACGAGTGTCTGTCAGATACCATTGATCTTACAACGAGTTGTAAGATCAATGGTATCTGACAGGCACGAGTGCAGTAATCTGTTTCTTACACACCCTAAAATCGCACCTTTTTAGCACCGAACCGATGAATTTTGTCTATTCTAATGATTGCAGTAGCGCATTAATACATAACACCACTGTCATAAGTGACGTCATCCTATGTGCTGCTTACTTCTCATACATAATGTGACCCTACACAAAACGGTTTCCGTCATATCTGTGGATTATCAAGGCGATGATGAAAATGCAAACTAGACAAAAACAAAGAACACGCTGGGTGCCAAGTTGAAAGTTTACACCTCAAAGAAATTACCAAATGTGTACAACAATGTTTACTTCCGTATGACATCACTACCGGTGACCGACTTTTACAAAATGGCGTTTTCACTGACAACAGTACGCGGGATTTCCAGAGGAGGTTTTCGTTGATTGAGGGATCGAATACACAAAAATGTGTCACGTAAGTAATCAGAATCATTCTGACAATCTGCGTACTGTTATTTGTTTACCATGTTTTTCAATGTAACAAAGAGAATTAGTCAGAAATGCAGATAACTACCGTCATCGTTGTGCGTGATTTAGCGTCAGTCATGGCGTCACACAGGATGGAAACTTTTACGGCTTCTGTTGAATTTACCACATCATTGTAATTCCATACTTAGTGCAACGATACTCTTCCCATGAATATTCTCAAACGCGTGATCGAGCCAATGTATGCAACAATTAGACGAAAGTACCTCTTTTAATGCTACACAGTGTAAAATCTGAATTTTGCTTTGTTTACATTTCAGCAAGTACAATTTTCCGAGCACAGTTTTCGTTTCCATACCTAATTTATTTCGCATGATTTCATCTAGATCTAGATAATTTACATTGGTGACAAAGACTATTTATCCATTGTTTCGAAAATGTATGAGGAATTCAGGGATGCATGTATAGCAGCTGAGTTTGAAATAGAATCTATACCTGATCGAATATAGGCGTCTCATAACCGGCATTTTGTAAACACAATCCAATATGGCGGAACGTACACTTCGGCGTTCGTGTATGCATATTTTCCAAAACATTCTCAGCGACGTTTCAGAATTATCATTAGTGATTTGATACCCGTAATCGCTAATATACTATTTTTCTACTTTAATTATTCGAGTAAATATCCGATATTTAGATTTCTAAACACACAGTAAATATTTATATAACGCCGTGAATTGTGATTTGACGAGATTTACAATGTACCTAACTTTCAGTCACTTTCAGTAATTTTGAATTGCCTAAAATGACAGTAAATGATAAACAGAATGGGGAATTCAAAACTGTAAAGTGTCTGCGTGATGTATTTCGAATTTTTATTCGATTTCGAAGTGAGGGTTGAAGAGAAGGGACATATGTGTCGCTGTGCCAGCCAGGGGGTTTACACTCTGAAAAAACGATAATGTTGACATAACAGATAATGTAACTGATAATAATAACAAACAAACTCGCAGACGGGGACGAGTTTGTTTATTTTATTATTAATTACACGGTCCTGTCACGGTAGGTGAACATTCGACTGAAGCACGAGCAACTTATGAATCACTCTCCTACCCAGAGTTCCATGCGGCCGGCAGCCAGCCAGCATAGTACCTCTGCCACAGGCCAGCGCCATGTGACGATTCGTCACATCTTTCACAGTCCATTCAAGATATTGAATATGCTTTTCATCCGTTTCATGTATGACAAGTCAACACATTTTCATAAACAAACGTCAAAGAATGGTTACGGTTCATTAAGAAAGTATCCTAATACGTGAAAATCTATTTGTATTTGCGTAGTTATTCTTTGTTTACATTGGTTGTAAGGCTCCACGTGCTGTCATCGAAGCCCAACGGAGAGCTGGCGATACGGTCTTTTTGATGCATAAATGTATATTTTCATGCAACTCACTGTCGCAGTTGTAGTAGCATATCTATATAATTATGCAAAACAATATATTAAGCGACCTCAAAAATTTGCATTAGTCCGTTCTACATTGATTTCTGAAAAAGCGCGTTTGTTTACAAACAAGAGA